TTTTTTCCCAAAAAAAAAAAAAAAAAAAAAAAAAATCAACTTCTGACGGAAATCCTTTTTTGACATGGCTTTTGCAGTTTCAAGTATAATGTTAATTCTCCTCCTGTTTTTGTTACCACTCTTAGCCACTTCCCAGCCATACAGTAATGTTACCATGGGTTCATCAATAACGGCAGACAAAAAAAATTCCATTTGGGTGGTGTCACCATCTGGAGAATTTGCTTTAGGCTTCCAGCAGGTCATTCAGGGACGTTACTTACTGGCCATCTGGTTCAACAAAATACCTGAAAGAACCGTTGTTTGGTCTGCCAATCGTGATAATCTCGTCCAAGAAGGATCAAAAGTTCAACTATATGCAGATGGGAGTTTCGAACTGCGTGATCCTAGAGGCCAGCAGATATGGTCTGCTACTTCGTCTTTTGATGGAGTGACCTATGGATCCATGCTTGACACTGGTAATTTTGTGTTAGCAAACAACAGTTCAGTTTTTTTGTGGCAGAGTTTTGACAACCCTACTGACACATTATTACCAACACAGACACTTAATAAAAGTGGCATACTTGTTTCCAGATTTTCTGAAACAAATTATTCAAAAGGGAGATTCCTCTTCACATTAGAAAATGATGGAAATCTTGTGGCTTCCACCAGAAATTTCCCCACGGATGACAAAGTTCTAAATTATTGGTTAACGAATACTTCGGACAGTGGCTTCAACCAGGTGATCTACAACCAGTCTGGCCACATCTTTCTGGAAGCAGTAAATGGAAGTGTTCTCTATTTTATGTCTCAAGATGCGCACTCAACTAGTCAGTTTTACCAGAGAGCAATTCTGGAATATGATGGAGTTCTAAGGTATTATGTCTACCCTAAGTCTGCTAATTCACCAGGCGGGAGAGAGATGGCATGGTCCTCTGTAAAATCCATACCTTCGAATATATGCATGAGCATGGTGCAGAGAATTACCCCCGCTGCACCAAGGTCAGGATTTGGTGCTTGTGGTTTTAATAGTTTATGCTCATTGGGATCTGATCAAAAACCAAAGTGTGAGTGCCCTGAAGGTTACACTCTCATAGATCCAATTGACAGGATGAGTGGTTGCAAACCAAATTTCGTTGTACAAAGCTGTGATGAAGGGGCACGTGAAACTGACCTTTTTATT